CGCAGTCCACACTGAGAATGAACCATAGCTGATGGGTCGCACCTACTGTTTTCACTCTCCACCATGACGTTTACAAGGAGTGAACAGTCCTTTTCAATTCCGCAACCAAACGGTGTGGACAGTCCAAGTTCCACGATAACATCCTCACCTTCTTTTACTGTTACAGAGGGGGTCTGGATCTGTTATACAATATTGCAGCTGTTGTTCATAAATGACGATATATAATGCGTTTCAGCGGTTATTATCATAAAGCTTTTTCGTTCAATTCCAAAAGACAGATAGACCAGTTATTGATATAATTGGATCCCAAAATGTAATGTTTCGCAGGACAAACTTGATACTCTGTTTAATGTGTCGTTTATGGCAATGACTTAAGTGTTGTCTGTCTCCCTAAAATGACTACAATGTATTTCATATATATAACATATGTTCTATAATCCAGATTCGGGATGGTCCAGGTCATATAGGCTTTATTTTTGGTGAAACCCACCAACGCGCGTATGGTGCTCCCAAATTCGAAATCCTAATCACAGGATTAGTTTACCTTCAAACGCAGCTGCCATACACAGTTGTGGTGCCTTAAACAACTGATGCACTCATGTCCCTAATCTGTCCTTATGCAAGATGAGTTGTTCACATTTTGAGATGACTCTGTGACTCTACATTTGATACTATGATATTTTTGTAACAACGAATGTTGGACTTAGTGCCCCTTAATCTTGAAATGATTTCAAATGCTAATTGTAGGCTACCATGCTTGATCTTGTATACATACCACAATGCCAATATATTTGGAATCGCTCATTTCACTCTGCCCAGGAGGAAAGCCTTGTCCATAAGATGCCTTGACTGCACATTGTACCTTTAAATAGCATATGCCGTAAGTCTGATGTTATGCGTTTCACGTCCACCAAGAAAATCATTTTTGCGACCCTTCAAACAATGGTGTATGCTTTCGTTTGCTCGGCAATGAACATAATTGCGTAAAAGAATGATGAGGTGACAATCAAGGTAAAACACACCGGTTTTGCAATAGAACAGTATGAACAGCTTGAATTTTTCATGAACCTCAGTAGTATTAGGATGGGGTTCCTGCAGCAGTTATGTTCTATAGAGTTATTTATGTCTAAATCAGGCTCCCATCGATGGTGAAAAACTGGTGTTTGATGGCGGACCATCGTTGGATGTATCTTTTATTTGAAGTATTTTTAAAAATAAGGCTTCATCAAAATGCTGAACGTTGGTTCATCCTATGCGGATCAGACCTCAATTTAGGTGGATTGAATGAAAAAATTAATTTTTTCCTTCAGCAACGGGAAGGATTCGAACGCCCAAACTCTGTCCCACATATTCCCCTTACACTAGCAGACTCGCTCTACCAATAATTGTGCATTAAAGCTATAAATAGCTCATACGCCTTCAAAGCTGATGAAAGACGGTTCTAAAATAATGGATTGTGGCTTCTAAAAAGATTTTCAGCGTTGTTGAGTCTACCTACGAGCATAGTGTTTGTATATTATTAGACCTGTACTCAAGGTAAAAAGCCAACAAACGTTTTCGAAGCGAGCGACCTCATTTTCAAACTTTGAAGCGGAAGTGGAATGACGTCATAAACTGGTTCCAGGCTCCTTTTGCGATAATATAGACGGAGCCCAGCTTAGGAGGATGATGCAATTCTCAGCATAGGCATTAAGTTTTTAAACACTCATTCTTCAGGTCCCTAGTAGTGCAATCGGTTGTGTAGTGCAGTCTTATGATGTGAAGTTGCGCAGCTCTGCAATGTGCGATCGTATCCCACCAATGCCTCTGTGGATTCCTTGCACCTTTCGATTCAAACTGAAGCAAGGAATCAAGAGCACATCAGTTGGATCCTGAGAAGGGTCTTTCTGAGTAGGGGCACTCTAAAGGCGATGCAATCCCCTAGGGAGAAGTTGCGCAACACCATCAATCTTTCGATAATTTCTCCCTAGGGGATTGTGGTTGCCGGGGACTTTTGTTAATTTATCAACCTTTCTATCTTTCTATGTTATGTTGATATCTACAAACCAGTTCAACGTTAATCTTTCATGAGGCCTTTGTTCGGTGAACTTTTTTCTCCTCTTCGCTGATGCCAGTGCATCATTACGAGTCTTGGTTCGAATCCCCTGTTTCATTCTGTGGTATTTTGTTCTGCTAGACGGAACTCTTCCTCGGAGATTTTACTGTCCATCAGCGCTTTTGATATGTGATCATCGATTGTGTTCTGCTTGGCTACGGCTAGAACCCTGATCTCCTCTTGCTTCAGCGCTTTACGTTGCAGCCGACGTGAAATGAATTTAATAGCCACTCCCACCAGCCCCGATACCCCGGCTGCTATTTCTAACCTGAGGATGACAGGTGGGGCCACGATGACCGACGCCGGCAGCACCGAGTCCCAAGCTGGTTGCCACAAGTGTGGTGTCTATGCCCACCAGAGCATTCGTTGCTCTATGGTACTTTTTTATACAATCCTAGTCGCACGCCACGTTCTTGTTCCAGTTGACATCTAATCTCGCTGATTTGTCACAAACGAAAACCATCCATGGTTTTCGAATGGTTGAGTGACTTCGACTATGGCCGTATACAATCCCATCTCAAGAATAATATAAGTTAGTAAATAAGCTTTGTCCTCCGTCAATCTTTGATGAATATACTTAAAGCTGATGAGGTACATATGCTCGGATAAATAAAAAAGATGGAGTAAAATTTCAGTCTGTTCATTTTGAATAAAAAACATGACCCTCTCGAGGCTTGCGGAGGGGACTTTTCCTGGTTGTATATAAATACGACAACGTTTATTTTGGTGGTGATCATGCCAGCTTATTTTTAACCCAATCATAAGTTTCACATCTTCTGCAGGGGCATCTCCAAGAAAAACTTCAATAATAAGTGTAGAGCCTGGTATAACTTGGACCCACGAGTCTGGCCATTCATAATTTCTTGTTAAATACAACCTAGGTTTCCACCACCACCACCGCTCACTTCTGTTCACCTGTAAGTATTGTTTCTTAATTCTAAGGCGTCTAACTTGCCTTCATCGAATCCTCGTGTGTCCCCGAAATCGGAGATCGCGACAGTAGGACATTTTCTCAGGCGCTGTATTCCGGGACCAGAAGCATTCATGATTTGATGTGCAGCATCAAGCTTATATATCCCATAGACACATGTTTATGTTTTATCTAAAATGGATACTGTAACAACGGGAACGATTCCTTTCGACCGATGTTGCACTTTTCGTGTTTGACCACCATGGCTCTCAGTAGAATCGAAGGGCGTTCGCCTTGAATATTATCGGTCGTGTTTACCCGATGAGATGAATGAACATCTCGTGACAGACAATGAGGCTCGGTAATCTTGAACCCGTTACGGTGTCTCAGGGTCGTATTTCGTTCGATGGCAACCCGAGGGTTCTCAACAAGGCTTTACCGACTCTGATGGGTTTTTCCCCAGCCATTAACGTCAGCGTTCCATTCGACTCGTTAAGTTTGAAATTGGCTCCAATGGGTTTGAAAATTTCATCGTGTAGCATACAAACGCTGTAAGAACTGTCGCACAAATCGTGGCGATTTCCATCTATGAATAGCCTGTTGTTACCTTTATATTGATTGATATTTGACCATCGCGAGTAATACCTTAGAGCGACTTCAAGTTGTCCCGATGTGTTATCGATTGCTTGAAGTAGTTGAATGGACTCACCATTCAGATTCCCGGGAGCGTGACGAACATGTTACATATATACAAGACACTACAATATACATTCAACATGAGTGACGTGCTAGCGACAAAAGAAATCATGGTGGATGTGGATGGAACGCATTTTAAAACGAATTTTATCGATATTTTCGAAAACTATATTGTGACCGTCAGTAATGCTCGGTGGGCGCACTGGCTAAAGCGCCAGGCTAGTGATCCATCGAGGTTGAAGATGTCGGGATCGAGCCCACCTGTGACCGGGTGTAAAACCTTGGAGTCAACTTTGTGTGCAGACTCTTTCCGGGTTGTCACAACCCCTAGTGTACAGTATACAACCCTGTGCACTTTAAAGAACCCATGAATCTGTTGGTATATGACCAGATGGTGGCCACATGAATACGTGCAAACACCTAGTTGCGGGTACAGCAAGGTGCAGTGAACTTGGAAAAGTACTGTGACTATGTGTCCCAGTCCACCTAGCTGTGAATTGGGTACCTCGTAAGGATGAGAGAGCCACAATAAACTCGGTGCGCCTAGTGGCAGCAAGAGTTGTATACTCCCCAGGGAGTTGAGATTGATAACACGATGTGACGTTGAGATTGACATCCAATGATCGAGGGAAACAAATACCAGCGCCTTGAGCAAGCAATGGTTGCATGGGTATGTGCGCTATATAAATATCCTATAATAATAATAATAATAATAATTCTCAGGTGGTGGTAAACTGGAACAATAACCTGATGCAGTTTTGGCAAAACCAACTCAATTTCGCCTTATGGTGTGTGACGACGGGATCGGGTGTGATACTCGACTATAGAACAGACAAACTGAGTAAGGCAGTCACCTTGTTGCATGTTTATTATCAGACGAGACGAATTTTGAAGAAAATAGGTGCACCTCTTCCACAAGATACAGCGTGGAGTATGATAGATAACCCGTATGATCAGCGTGCGTACGAACGTATTTGCGGGGAATTTATGATTCTCACGAATAAAGACTTTCGCCTTCCCGGTGTGAACCACGGTCTCGGTAAACTATACACTTATTTCTATAAAGCCAAAACATTTAGAATCGCTTATACGGGTGGTGAGTACGTACCCGGGTACCATACGTTTACGGGCCTCACGACGAACGACCAAATTCATGTTTCGTACATCAAACAAACCGACCCTGGAGCGGATGCAAATGATTTAAAAAAAACATCGAAGCGGTTTTCTCACGCGGGTACCATACGCTTGAACGATTCGATTCAAATGTACGTGTGGGCCATGCTAAGCGCACAGGCACAAATGCTTTCCGGTATCATCGGTAAGGGAACGGCGTACGATGTGCAGAAACAATTCGCGGCGAACGTCAATGATGCCATCGCGTCTCCGGTGGATTTACCGACAGCCATCAAGTGTTACCAAGACACTTTGCAAGATGGTGTGAAGTCGACTACGTGTTCGGCATGGGGTTGTACAGGGCCCCTGAGCGACATGCAACTGAGGATCCATAAAGTGGTGGGCTATAACAACGAAATCATCATAGCGACCAGCGATCAAAAGTTGGGCGTCAACCCCGATATCAACGTGAGTCACGTCACACCACCCACGAATACCGGTGAAACTGGTCCTTCAAATGCACTTAGAATGTAACACGAATGTCCGAAATGCATCAAGAATGATGCTGGAATGTTCCACGATGGGGTATAAAAACCTGTTGAATCTGGACTATTCATCAATCTCTGCCCAACTCCTATACAGTATGGACCCCCTGGACGATGTTGCGTTGCCTCAGATTGCTGTCATCCAGCAAGCCCTGATTGAAAGAGATGTGGAGGAGACCAGTGGTTCCTGGCTTCGGGTGATAGGTACCCCAGCATCATATACAGCTTCCGCGTGGCAAGGAACACAATCAGCCTGATCATCTCAGAAGTATGTATGGTCATTATGGAGGAATACAAGGATGAGGTTATCATGTGCCCTACCACTCCAGAAGAATGGGCACCCATTGCAGAGGTATTCAGAAACAGGTGGAATATTCCTCATGCCGTAGGAGCTTTAGATGTCAAACATGTGGCCATTAGGAAACCTGCCAAGAGCGGCTCATTGTACCACAACTACTAGGGCTTCTTCTCTGTGGTCCTCATGGCCCTTGTGGATGGAAATTACAAGTTCCGGTGGGTGGACGTTGGTGCTTACGGAAGTATGTCTGATGCTCAGAAGTTCAATGAGTGCGAGCTCAAGGATTGCCTCGAAGACTGGAGCATGGGGTGTCCTGATCCGTTCCCCTTACCCCAAGATGACGAGCGTATGCCATGCTATATTCTGGGAGATGATGCCTTTGGAATAAGGGCCTTCTTCATGAAACCGTATGGTCATAGGACTCTCCAGAGAGACGAGAGAATCTACAACTACAGGGTTAGCAGGGACCGACGGGTAGTCGAAAATACATTTGGAATCATGGCCCAAATACAGTTGGAAAATCCTCCTCCCCACCATGCTGCCAATGCCTTCCGTTGTGAAGGACATCATTGAATGCTGTGTCTGCCTGCACAACGTGATGAGGAATCGTTATCCTAATCTCCACAATGGTATGGTGGATGAGGGAGATGTAGCACAACGTGGTGCCAGGAGGCTGGAGACAACTTGCGCAGCTTGAAGATGTGAGTGATATCTGAAGTTTCAGTGACAGGTGGCTACATTTTCATGCGATTCGGCGGTGGTCTGATGACGTCAGGGCACATTTGAAGAGCATTCGTGACGTTCTGACTGTATTCGATGTCTGTTCGATGCACATTCTAGCTGTATTCCAAGTGCAATCGAAATACTCCGATACTTTTAAAGACTATTCCACCTAAATTCCACAAGCAATCGAAATACATTTGAGGCGCATTCGGGACATTCTTGCAGGGTTTGAAGTGGCTTGCCTTTTCGATTCTCCCTCGAACACGTACAGAATACTTAGAATGCAGTAAAAATATTTAGAATGCAGTTAGAATACACTTCAAATGTTGTTCGATATTTTTCCACTTCGAATGTACCTCGAAAGTTATAATAGTATATAGTATATAAAATGAGATTGTACCCTGCCATGGACGAAGTAGCTAGAACACTGGAAACCCCTGGCAAATTTCGTTTGCGACAAATCAATGACATCAAACACCAACTGGTAACGGAACTTGACTCACGACTAGGATTCCACCAAAGATATCACAGAGCCGTGAATGCTATTGACGGCATGAGCATGGAACTTGACGTTGACTCGGTTTATTGTCAACTATCATCGCCGCACCCGTTGTGCTCGGCATTGAAATAGCGGCTGGGGCCTCGGGATTGGTGGGAATAGCTCTTAAATTCATTTCACGCCGGTTGTCATGTAAAGCATTGAAACACAACGACACTCGCGTTCTGGCCAAGGCGAAGTTGAACACTATCCAGGGTCATATCTCCACAGCCCTATCTGATAGTAAGATATCCGAGGAAGAGTTAAGGCAAGTGCCGTCTGAACACGCCAAATACGACAAGATGAAACAAAAAATTCGAACCAGGACTCGTAAAACCATGGGCATCAGCGAAGAAGAGAAAAAAACTCATAGAACAAGGGCAGAAAACAAGCCCGACAAGCATTCCTTTCCAAAACCAAAGAAATAATACGAGAATAACGCTGAACTGCTTCCTCGTAATTGAAAACACTGCATTCTGGGGCGCTGTTACCAAGGTAAACACCAGCCTAACAACGGCGTTCCTATATGAGCGCGGTTGCCAAGGTATGACTCAGCCAAGCAACGGCGTTCCCGTCATGAGCGCTTGTCAGGTATGGCTCACTCACAGGTGCAAGCTACTAACACATCAGCCCGCTTGGGAAGGCATTGTATAGGGATAAGTAAGGTGGTTTTAAATGGTGATCATAACTCTGCTGACTGCCGATAATGAAATACAAGATTTATGTGCCTGGACGCTGTCTTTGTACTGTGTAAGGGCTCCCAATATTTAACATTATGATCACCTTTTTAAAAACCCACCTTCCTCTTCGGTATACCTGCTTCAGGTTAGCTGTTATAAATGCGTATAATCAACACTTCCAGTAATGCTGATGCAATCATGACTAGGCTGTCTCATTGAGTGTCAGCTAACCATTGATCAGCTCACTTTGTTGTGCTTAATGTCACCCTGCCCTGATCCAGTGCATTATGGGTGTATTACCTTAAGGATGGACCACACAGCACAGGCCCTCGTGTCTTTGCGAAGATTAAAGATTTAGAAAAATAATTTTTTGAGATGACCCCCGACTCGAAATGTTTCACAGTACAATACATTATGAATGCACAGCACCAAAAACCGGATAGTAAACCATTGAAATAAACGTAAATACAGTAGGAAATACATGCCATGACCGGATTTACGTATGTTTTCAGATATTTCCTAACTTCGGGCATATATTTCATATGAATCTATACCTTTGAAACATATGCTCATCGTACATTTTCGTATGCACAAGCACCTCGTTCATGTATGCCCTGACCGGATTGTCAGGGATTTCCAAATATGAATTGCAAAACAGATACCCCGGTAAATACATGATCATACAGTATTTCCAATGCATTCCTTTGAATTTCAATGGGTGCTGAAATTTCCGATCTCGTTCTAAGTTTACTCGGGTTGGAAACATGTGAATTTACTTAGGTGGGGAAACACATGTAAATTTTCAAATTTGCAAATGTTTACACACCTTAGATATTTATGTATCATACCGGATTTCAGGGGTATGTATATGAACGGTTCATACACCATCATGTTACCTGTGCTCAAGCAAGATGATCATATGTTTCCATCATGTGAATTACTTGGCTCATGTAATTTCACTTTCACACATTATAGTACGTTTGAAATCAACGTTCACATGACCTCAATATTCTTATCACCAAAGAGCCTGGCAAAGGAAGCGGTATTACCCAAGCTAACACGCCTTATTAAGCTGCACTCGCTCTTGCTACCAGTATCAGTTACGTCTTGTCTGTGGTGTTGGCAAATCTTGTGAGGTGCATGTTTCGAGGGATTGAAAGGTTCAGTGGTGAACAAAGGGCGATGCGTTGCCCCATTGTCCTCGCAAGTGACCCTAGCTGCCCCAAAAGAATAGCACTTTGTCTCTCTTGGAGCACAGCTAAATATGCTACAGGAACCAACTCGTAATTTCTTAAGTCTGTTCAGCTCGCGCATCTACTGTAAAATATGTTTTTGCAGTACATAATTGGAATATTATTGCACTGCATGTGACCTTCTTAATAGTCTCACAGTGCCTGAACAATGTTATTTCTCCATTCGCTCAGCCTTTGCTGTAATAACGCCATACATAAACTTTAAAGTTTGTTTCACTAACGCAAAAGTATACAATAAGAAACAATGTCATATCAAATTCGATGAGACATGAAATGAAAAATTGTTTTTATCGAGTAGCGATTATGACCGGATAGCACAGGCGGGTGCGTTCTCTGAGTATATATCATAGGCATGTTGGATCTTCGTGCCTTTTGTGAAATTCGTCTATATTGTCCTGTTTAAATTGACGATCCATAACTCAGATTGCGAGTTAATATCACGTAAGTAATTGTGATGTCGCATTGCTGTAAATTTCCCTGTCGAAGAAGTCATTCTCACAAGATGTATATTCCCTTGTTTGGAGAAGATCTATGGCTGTTACGCCCAGGTGTTGCTAAACATCTTATAGGCCTTTAGTCTGACACAGACGCGGACATCGCATGTTCAAGTTCTGATCTGACAGGGGCTGAAAATATCATTCCGACATGAATATAATGTCTCAGTGTTTTCCTAAGTAAGTGGAGATCTTTCTACAACATTGGAAATAACTGTATCATTGTCCTTCTGATATTCCCCCGAACGAAAGCTCTACCCATTTAGGGTACAATGAGTAAGTTACAGAATTGTAGGGAATAGTCTTAAGACGTTTCTACTTTGACCAGGATTCTTCGAACTTGTAATAGTCGTCTGAGAAGATCAAAAGAGAAAAGGGTAGTGCGCGATGTATATGACGGACGTATATGGAGAACGTTCGAAGAACTTTATACAATAATAGAAATACCGGTTATGTTTAAAACGTACCTTCAATCTGATAGCCAGAGGGATTATTGTGAAAGATCGCAGTACGTATCATCATAAACGGGCCAAGATAAAAGTACATGTCATTCATCCCCACATTATATCCCACGGGACATCGTTGTTACAGGTAGGGCAAACACTTTCTTCTAACGGTATCTGCCGGTTTCACGGTACATACATGTGTTCAGATTATCGGGAAAACTAGCACAAGTTCTCCTCAATTACACCAGAGACCACATAATCTATCATATGGCCTTTGATCACACATATAATTGTATAAATACCCAGTGTTTATTGATAGCGAACTTATCAAAATTTAAGGCCGACAGTATCATCTGCATTACTCTCTTACATAAGGTGAAATATCACAGGGTTGTCATGGTAACGATAATTTGGCATACAATTTATTGGTTATTCTTTAATCTGCGATTAGAATTTAAATCAGTTTTGACATGAGCATGTTAAGAAAAAAGAAGCTGTAAAACGAAATGTATTGTGATCGAACCTATAGGCCTTTGTTAAAAAAAAACCGAGTTGTAAAAACGAGTTTCAAGCCACCTACATAAAAACCTGTTTTCATGATAAATATGTGCTAATCGTGGCACGATTCCAACCATATCATGGGCATATTTTTGTGAATCATAATCAAACAGTGATGTTACAAGGCGTCAATGCCGCGTCAACAACACATACGCAAACAGGGGCGTAGCTACCATTATAAAAAACAGCTCGAGCTTACACATGATATTTCCTAAAAAATAAGTTTTCTTCTAATTTTGCCAAAAAATACATGTACAAACACGTTCCATTTAAAAAGTGGAAATTCCTCTACGAATCGTACTGACTACAGTATTCTTTGATTAAAGCATTACCATGTACAGTAAACAGGTTATTCTTCACATCATAACTTTCAGTGATGATTGTGTTACAGTAAACAGGTTATTCTTCACATCATAACTTTCAGTGATGATTGTGTTACAGTCATGATTACATGTGAATCCTCACTGAAATGCAGTTGTTTATTTTTCATTTGTTTATCATTTATTTTAGAAAAAACACCAAATACTCTATGTATGGTATTGTATCAATGCAGCAGACATGTGTAAACTATGTCCAAACATATTTGTATATGAGGAAATCACATTTCAATTTCGACATTATTTTGAAGCTATTGAAATCGTCAAACGATAACTCTTCAAGTCTCATAAAAAATGAAAGTTGGGCAAGCCCTCAATACCACCTATAATATAAATCTTTGCAGCTCTTAGGGCTTACACGAAAAATATGGCTTGCTACGCGCCTGGTAAACGCACGAGAATTGCAATACGGGCCTCTAACCACTGATTCTCCGTGACCTGGAGACACATGTGATTGAGCGTATGTTGGGACGTCGTCTGTCATACAGACCCTGAAGCAAATAT